GTTTTGAAATCGCCAAATCAACAATATAATCGCATTCGCTCGCAAGAAAGAACGAACCAAGAATGGTTTAGTTTTATAAGCTTACCATCGCTGTTGTCAAGAGCAGATCAGACGTTTCATAATGATTCTGATAAATTATATCCTGCGAAGTGATAAAGTTGCACGAATTGTGTCATCAGTGGGACATGCATAACATGTTGCAAGAGCAACGCTTTCCAAATGTTCGGCCGTGCATCTTAGGCAAATGGTGCGAAGAATTGTGCATGAATAATATGCACATCTCGATATGGGAAACGACTGGTTTCTCTGAACATCAAGCAAATCAGAACGTTTTCATCGTTCACCAGCCAGAGAACCTCGACGAGAGGCCTGTAGAAAAGCTTCAATGGTTAACAAGATTCTTCATGAAGTTTTCCATCTACCAATTCCCCGGACGAAAGTAAAATGAGTCTGTTGAGCGAACAATAAGTAGAATGCTCCCATCTGCGCAGAAGCAAGATATTCTTGTTCCTTCCTCAATGAATTATTATGTAAATATAGAACATTTGGTAAATGACAAAGAGGAAAAGCAGGAGAAGCACACTAAACTATGACGTTGGTTTCGGAATATATTCCGCTGGCGTCGTCGTTAAATTCGTACAGCAGCTTCCTTGTACCCAGACAGACTCTTCCCAGATTTCATTCTAATACATGGTACTTAGTATTGAAGTTTGTGTTTTACTAAATTGTCCCGACTTTAAAATTAGCATCATCGTTTATTCTGCAATAAGAGTATACAGCAAGGACTCGGAATATTGAAAGTACATTCAGCATGACTGTAGACGATTGAGATTGTAGCAGTAGTCTTTGGGTACAAATCAAAAGCTAAAAAGTAATTCGTTTACATAAACAATAATTGATTCTGAAACAAAATTTTCGGCATTAAATTTATGAGTATTTGTAAATATATTGATATAATCAATTCTCAAAATTAAATACTAATTTAATTAATATTTTATCGAAAAAATAAAGTTTGATTGTATCTAAAAGTGTTATTTATTTCTGGCAAAGAATACAATAAATATCTTTACATAAAACAATCATCAATGAGTTGCTTAACTTTCCTGGCAACATTTAAAACTGCATGCTTGGTGCCATTTGTTATATTTTATTAAAAAAACTTTTTATATTTGTAATTACCTCGTATTATAAAATGGCAAGAAGCTTCATTTTGAGGAAAGGGACAGGTTTTATCTATATATATCAAATTGCTTGTCCTGACTGACTCACTGATTCATCATCGCCCAGAGCAAACCGCTAAACCTAAAAAGGTGAAATTTAGTGAAACTTACACAGTTAGGGTACGTCATGAAAACGCTCACTAAGAAGGGATTTTTCGAAATTCCCCCGCGGGGGTGAGGGAGAGCATTAAGGCTTAACCGGAAGAACGGCTTCTACTGTACTATTTTACATTCGATTTTTTGTTACGTTTAGTCTTCATCGAGTGCTTAAGTGTNTTGTACGAGTGTTTTACCCAATTCTCGAACCGTGTTAGAGCGAATCCATGCTATAGAAGTGCTGTGTTATACGGGGGTTACCTGTTTATCTTTGTAAAATAGGACTGGCAGAATTACAGTATTAACATCGTAAAAACATGTAAATGATTAATAAAAATATCTTCTTTTACTCACCATGTCCAATCACCAGGAACAAACTATTCTCCACAGCAAAGACAACCTTTCTTTAGAGGCTATGCCTATGCCAAATTATATAAAACAGTCTAAAATGGCCACAGTTAGCCCTATTTTACAAAGAAATATTATATTTTTAACTGTGAAGGGATTGCCACCTGTGTCAGCCTGTATAACATTGTTATCATAAATGACAAAACAATCATTGATGTTACATCGATGATTGTTTTGTCAGTACGGTACAGTTCTATTATTCCCCTGACACAAACAACCAATTGACAATACAGCTTGTAAATTTTTTAAAATCCCTTACATAATGAATATCTTTGAAAGAATTAAAAATAAATTAAATAATTATGGTATCATTTTGGTTCCCAAACATCACAACAGCTTACATAAGCAAATAAACATATGTAACAGTGAGACTAACATATGGGACCAAAGAAACATTATCTACAAATTAGAATGCACCTGTACCACACCCAAATTTTACATCAGGGAAACTAGTAGGGAATTAAAGGTTCATTTTAAAGAACATCTCTCTGCCATAGAGTACAATAATAATAATGCAGCTGTAGCCATCCATTGTAATAAAGAAGGCTGTCAAATTGTAAAGGATACTGTCAAAATAGTTAAAAAGGAATCAAATACAGTGGAACCTTGGTATAAAGGAAAAGGTGGTATTATGGAACACTGTGGGTATTATGGAATCACCCCATTTCGAACTGATAATAAAGGCGAACTGTAGCGGATTGTGGCTGAACTAAACTAGGCAGACATCCATAGCAAGGGGAAAACCCGTTTACTTCAGTTAAACAGTTGTCTGTATTTAATCAGCAAATTTGTTTTTTTCAAAATTCGCAAGTTTTGAATGCTAAGTGAATTTAATTATTTTTAACTTATAAATCGTGTAGTTGTAGGTTCACTGGTGCATGTATTCTGATCCAGAGACTTAGAGGTATATATTAATCTGTGTGATGTTCACGTTTTTTAAATTTTGGTCTTGACAGACATAAGTTAATTCAAGATGGCGATGAGTGAAATACGGACCCCATTGGTGCTTTTACAGTAGTATGGAACTCAACTCCTCCGAACTCTCTCTTTGCAAGCAGACATTCGTCCGGAGCAATTTGTGAAAAAGACACTAGGTAGAAAGTCAATTCTTCCCGAGAATATCGAAAAAGAGCTGCTGGAATATATATTGTTGATATTTATTTATAAAACCTGTCCCTTTCCTCAAAATAAAGCTTATATAGGGTATATACATATAAATGCTAAATAACGAGTAAAAATCTTCATTAATCTAACCTCACTCGAGATATAACACACGATCCCCCTTTATCTCCCCACCCAGTCAATCTTAAACCACAAAAATTTAATAGCATTAATTCCCCTAATACACAAACCTCCAAGCAAAATTTCGGAAATTTTCGACAAAAAGCACGGGAGGTATTAAGCTTCAAAGAGGGTGTACAAAATCGTGCCCCACACATACATACAGAAAAAACTCCCAAAACATTTTTGCTTCTCGATGTTTCAAGATATCCCGAGCTCGAAAATGTAAAAGTCTTGGGATTATTTTTTGACCTGTTAAATATAACAGTCGGAAAAGTAAAAATTGTTTAATCTTTTCTTCAATTTAATTCTTAGTTCTTCAAATATATTTTAATTAATGATAATACTTACAAACAAGCGGTAAAACAAGCAGTTAAAGCCCTATTAAATGATCAGTTGATAGCAGTGGTTACAGATACAATATATGGAATTTCAATAAAAAGAATAAAAAGAAGAGACAAAAGAAAGCGATAGCTATTTGTGTTTCAGATATGAGAAACATTCCAAAATAAGTTTTAAAGACTATCAAAATATTTTTATATTGATATTAATATCTTATTTGTTCTGTATAATTTCTTATAACTACAAACGGCAATTAATTGTGTAGTAGCTATGACCAAAATAGATGAGTTGGCAACCAGAACGAAAAAAATGAATCAAAGTTTTACGTATAGGATGGTTTGAATATGACTCAAATTGCTCTGAGAATAAACTTTTCATTCCACTTTAACAAAAAGCTTAAGACACGGATAATTACCGCGTAGTGGTACCTACTTATGTCAAGAGATGTAAATGATATGACCACCATTTGGAGAGATTTGACCATGTCCTAATAAATCGGGAACAAATAAACACAACAATAATAACATTTCACTGTAGTTTATATTAAGAAACCACAAACTTCAGACATTACAATAATTACTTTATACATTTTAATCGAACTTTTTGAACAAAATTAACAAAAATTAAAATTTTTCGTAAACATCTACCTGTCTACATATTCAGGACAAAGTTCTTAACTATCCTTTCTCGTTAAGCCAACGCGAATTTCGTGAACTATCTATGGCAAGGCGAACAAAGTCGCATATCCATAATTTCGTCCGAATTGCGCACAAAGCAATACAGTACCAGCTTTCGCCCTCTTCCCAGCACAAGAACATCACGTTCAGGCTCACTATAACTTGGCTGAAGAATTTATTTAACTAGTTTTTGCCTATCGTTTTTATATCTGCGCATTATAGTTCTATCTATGCCACATTTAATGCCATAGTTTTTCTTATAAAAGTAGTCTATTTCTTTCAACGCATTTTTCAGTTTGCTTACTAAATGCAGTCATCGGTTAGTAGCCTTCTTCGGCTTGTAAAGAAACGCATCGTCCTAGAAATTTTTAGTAGTAGCCTAGTTAAGAGAAGCGTTGAGCTTCTTCTGAGTAGAAGCGGGGAAGGTTGACTAGTGAGTCAACACTCCCCTTCTCGGGTGGTTCAAATCTCCCGCCTGGTATATTTCTGACTTTGATTCAGTTTTCCAAAAAATAAAAAAGGTAGACATAATTGGATAAGAAGAGTTTGATTGCCTAAAACTATGATAATGTATGGTGCAGTTAACGATGAAGTAATCAAAAACTTTTCTTCATTTCCGACAAGAAAAAAAACACGTTTGCTTCACAACCGAAGCAAACATGTGGACCACTTAAATATTAACGGCCTATGGCTTATTCAAACATATGCATGTAGTTTTTAATTAAAACAAAATCTCGTGGCAGCAGATAACCGACTACCGCCGCGAAATTTAAATGAAATATTTGAACCGGTTCGACTCTCCCAGAATCCCCTACATATCGCTTAAATATAAATAGAAAAATTGTTATTTTCACACGGACACAGCAAAAATTATAATTTATAATCAAGACTGGGTCGATAAATAATCATCGGTAGATAAATGAGACGGACTATTATCGCTCTATGAGAGAATCGGATGATAAGGGGAGGGCGTTCATTGGCAAAATGTCGTTAGAGAATGTCGTGGATGGCGTCAAAGAATGTCACGAATTGGTAGAATTGGGGACGGAAGCCGCGGAACTCGATACACAGAACATACTGCACGAGGAGAGAAAAACTATCGCTAATCGACTCGTTCTCCTTTACTTGAAAATTACTCTTCTGTCCGTGGGTATCGTGACCAGTTTCACGTTCTTCATCGTATTCTTCGTAAATGGAAATTATCACGGAGGAACCGCCGCTCTAATTTCTGGTAAATTGTTCATTATTATTATTATTTTTTTTTATTTCGAATAGAGCGAGCGATCGCTTACTACCATGTACTAGATAGATAAGCGACTTTACTGACGGAACTCTATTTTGATTAAATACAGAACTAATTTATTGCTTCTGTATTTAATCAAAATAAAGTTCCGTCAAGTCGCTTATCTCACTCTAATTTATTACTACTGCATTTAAAATAGCAAAATCCGAACTAAGTTTCGGAATGTATAAGATTCCTGGGGCAACGACTTTGCAAAAACACATTTTTGTAATACTGTACTTTGCTGTATAAAATAAACTTTAAAAAAAACGTTTTTCCGAATTGAATCTTCAAAAACAAGTTTATATTTCTACGAGAAGTAAAAAGACAAAATATTAAAAACAAATAATATGCTCTGAAAACGTTTTTGCATTGATTTTTAATTGGATAGGATAATAAATCAATTTTGACGATATCGAATGATTTATTTGGTCTCATAAAAATAGTTTTTCACATAAGCTCAAGTAAAATATATTTATTAATTTTCACATAATTAGTCTATAACAGTGTTTTCTAACGTGGGGCCCACGCCCCACAGGGGGGCAATTCGAAAATGAGCTCGTCCAGTTTTTAAGTTAACCGTATAGCCGCTGTATATGTTATGGGGGCACAAAAAATTTAGAAAGGCTTAGGTGGGACATAGCATAAAAAAGGTTGGGAAACACTGGTCTATAATATCAAGAAATGATTATATTTATGTACATTATTTTATGCCGTATTTTTAATATTTTCAGGCTAATACTCTCATTTGAAGAATCTAACAATTATATTAAGATTTTTGAGTCATCGATTAGAATGAAGCGCTACAAAAGTAAATTTGGACTATACACTGTACATATCAAAAATTAATTTTATATAATGTAACCTATAGCAATTCAAATTCTTTGTCTATTTCTTCAGTTCTTGATATTAAATACACAATAGATATCAATATAACTTGATATAATGATGCCCTCTTGGAATTCGGCATTCCATTGTTATAACGATAAAATGATTAAATTTTCATTGACACTGAAGATATTTTATTTATCCCATTCACTATTATAACTTAAACTATTCTCTAGTCTAGGAATTTATTAGCAAATAGATATTAAATCACAAACTAAAATGTTTTTCAGGTATAATAGGAAGTTGTGTTTTTCACATAATCGTGCTCATAATTAGAGAGAGATTGGAAGACTGGTACGATGTTAAAATATTAACAAACATCCAATTATTCGCTTTATTGACGACAGTCTGTTCTTTAATCGCCATGGGTATTTATTTATATCTAGCCGTCACTGGGTATCATGGTAAGTTGATCAATGTGTTTATTCTCCTCTTAAAATTCGGTTATCAGTAAAAATAATATAATTTACAGAAAGTATGAGTCGATCATTTTATACGTCGATTATCTTCATTTTTCTGGTGATCGTTTGGAATTTTCTTCTGTTTTGGATAATCAAACAACAAATAGCGATAAATAAGGTAAACATTAAACATTATTTTATCTTCCTTATCTGATATTTTTCTCTTTAAAATACTGTATTCAAAATGATAACGGAACTATAATAGTAACGTTAATGTACCTATTTGTTTGTGATTTATGTCTTCACATTAGCAATCTTGTCTGTATGCTAGTAATAATTGAATTTCTTTGTTTTGTAGGAGGAAACAGAAAAATAATTCGGAAGAATTATGTATTGTACATATACCATCATCATCATCTTTGTATTAAACTTTATAACAGCAGATTAAATGAAGATTAAATATGTATACATCGAACTTTGTGGCGTGAGATTTAAAAAAAAAAAAAGACACAGATCACAATCTAATATAAACTTTATTTACACATATAAACTGCAGCAAAAAGAAATGATAGAAAAAACAATAAAAAACTATCATCGATAACTAGGATTTTCAAAATTCTGGAACCACAATAGGAACAAGGCACACTAAGCACAGGGCGAGGATGGCTGGGAAGTAGAATAATTTATCACTTTTCCTGTCCTATGCTTCGATGAAAATATCGATACAAAAGGTAAAATTCTTTGGCTATAAACTAAGCCTTGTCCGGTACCACCGATGAACAACAGACTGCAATTTTAACAACCATACTACAGTATATGCACCGTGTATTTATAAAGCCTTCTACGCCTGGTAGAAGAAATGCCATCGCATGCGCTCTTTCCAAGCAAACGGAACTAGCGCTTACACTTTCCATTTCTTTAGTTGCTTTACTCTGGTGAAATTTATCTTACAGAAAACACAGTAAATTCCAATGCCAATTTCTGAATTATACATAATATACATATAAAAACACTTTTAACAACATTCATTTTATGTTTTTTTCTTTAACAAGCATTGGCCATTGAAATTTGCTAGAGATTCGAAAGGGGAAAACTAAAAATCTCATTTGTATATAAATATAAAAAAATACTGAGACCAGGCGTAAAAAAAGGGCTAAACTCGTAGAATTCTAGTTTAGTAGTTCTTTTAATAAACGCGACGATCACGTAAGCAGAAACGATTATTAAAATGACTTTGCCCGGAAGACCAACATTCGTAACTCAATGATTAAAAAAACAACAAATATAAAAAAGCCTATAATAATTTAGACGGTTAAAAAATAAATATATATATATAATAAAAAAAGAATCGTGTCTTTTAAAAATGCATATTTTGGAAGAAACGTTGCCCATTTTTACCGACTTGGAACTGCCTCAATTACAAACGTTATAAAATGGCATAAACGAAATAGTCTTTAGAGAAATTTGAAGCCGTGTGATTTAGGCCTGTCTACCTCTTTCTGCGCAAATACTTTCGGGGGAAGACGAGCACGACATTTACCGGTCATGATTGTAAAAACGTACGGAGATTGATGCAGCTTTTGTTCGGATTGTACTGCTATCTTGGCACTGGAGTTGTATGGGCTAAAATATTCACGGAATGAAAGAACTGCTCCAAAGTCTGGATCGGAGTGCGTTGATTTCCATCGGATTTCACTGTTTTCCGGTAACGTTTCTACACTTGCAAATCACTGTTCGACGTCTGCATCAAATGTCCCGTTTCTCCTTCCAACATGGCAATTCGTTGCTTTAACATACGAATCTGAAAAACGGAAAAGTAATTTTTCTTTTTTAAATCACAATTATTAAACTTTAATAAAATATTTTATCTTCTATAACAAAAACACAACAAAATCTGTGCAAATTCAATAGCAATAAAATTTAATTTCTTTGATTATTTTCTATTACGTATCCCATACCATCACTTGGATCAGAAGTTACATTTAAATGTGAGCATTTTTTCAAACGTTTTCATTTTCGGTAACACCAGAGAATATATTCCACTCATATAGAGCTCCATCTTAACTACAAGAAAATAACAAATAAATATGAGCATCTTTTCCAAACATTTGTTAAATGTAATTGCTGACTGGAGTGGTGGTATTGGGACATGTAATAGGAAACCTATCACATTTTGAGCTCCAGAGATAAGGAGTTTTCAAACATGCTTTAAATTCATCAACAATTATTCTAATGGAATGATGATAGTGTTTGACAAAATTGTATTGTCTTACCCAAAAACTAAAAACATTTGTGTATCAAACTGTTTTATAATGAAAACTATTTCTGGATATAAAAATTTAAAAAAAATTTAATTTACAATGTCAATCCAGGGTGCAATATCAAATTTTCTCAAGAAACAGATATCTCTGCTAGTCATATAGAAAATTCAATTGTTATTCATTTATAAAAGATTACAAGTTCATTTTTTGTAAGAATAAAATTACATTTATCAATTCTTCTTAGCAAATTCTATATTTATATGCAATCTATAAATTTAATATTGAATAGACTGAGCACTCTTTATTAATGTAATGCTCACTCTTTCAATGGAAACCATAGATAAGGTTTCCATTGTTAGAGAGAATGATGATAGTTTATTTATAATTAAATAAATTAAAATCTGTCAAAAATTGATATAATGTTTCTTTATAATTCTACTAGCTGCAAGGACCCGCTTCGCTGGGTTTTTATTTGTTCGTACATTTGTGTGTAATATAGTTTTTGTTTTATATATATAAAAGACTGTTTTTTTGAGTAATCTAAAATCTAGCTGCAAGGACCCACTTCGCTGGGTTTTTATTTGTGGGCAAAAAGTAACGATAGTGAAGATTAAGATAATTACATTATAGCCAATCTTACCCGTTTTCACAGAATGCAAGAATTAGGTCCCCCGTTTCCAGACTAATTAGAGACCTGGTCCCGATTCTATTTCTGAACGTCTCCTGTTCACGTCCAGTCAAACAAACTATTTTCAACATTTCTGGAACGTTTACAATCGTTCTATAATCAAACCAATATTCGAATTTTATGTTCGAATTAAATTCGAACTTAACATTCGAAATAGAAAACCACTTTCAACCACTTTCAGCCCCATATCTCCCGCACCCTTATAGCTATCGAGACACAACCCCCATAGTGCACGAACGGAGACTTGGGGCTACTACCACATACAAACACCATTCATGTGCGACGTGTAGTTTTGGCAGAAAAGTGAAATATAGGGACCCACACGTCCATTTATATATATATAGATTTAGAAAACAGGTATAATTTGATAATGTAAATATAGACAACTGTTACATTCCAATTAAAAATAATTCATATAATAAAAATCTGAATAAATGTTATTGTCCATAATGCACTTGCATAGATTTAGCCATTTTCTTACAGCAATTATTAAACTAGCATTTATTTCTTTTTTGTAATACTAAATAATACTATTGTAAGTAAATATTTTTACTTTCCAAATTATATTCTATCAAATGTACAGAGTTATTCTTATGTTATCAAGCAATGAAATGCCAGAGGAACTAAACAACCAAAGAAGATACAGAAGAATCACTCATATCAATAGGTAGAAAATCTCGTCAAGTTTTGACAGTACGTTACAGGTGCTCTAGTTGTTAGTGGTGCAACAAACATTAGTCCTATATTCAAGTTCCTGCCATACATCCCAACATCTCACTGTCATTAGCATTAACTGCATGGATGATCTTTTCTTACAACTGTGCTAAATCATGTGCATAGAGGGCATATACATATGATTTTTGATGTAACCCCAGAAGAAAAAACATCACACAGGGTTAGGTCAAGTGACTGAGGAGGCCATAGAAGAAGAGGACAGTCATCATGAGAAACATATTCAATCCAATGTTCAGCATTAATTAAGGTGATGGCAGACAATTGATTTAAAGTGTGGCAGTGCTCTATCTTGTTAGAAAATGAAGTCTTCACTATGTCCTCTAATTGTGGCATTAGCTATTGTTGAGCATGTCTAGATATGCGGTAGGTGTGTGCCAGAACTTAAATACAGGATTGATATTTGTTGCATCACTAGAGGTAGACATATAGAGCACCTATATGACACTACTGCAACTTGAAGAGATTCTCTACTTATTTATATGAGCTGTTCTGCTGTCTGTTTTGGTTATTATGCTACTGAGTGCTGAAACCCCAGAATGGCTTATACCCTGTATAAAACTGCTAGTTTGCTGTAGCTAAATTTAAATTATATATAAAAAAAAACTGAAATTTATATTGAAATATTTTTGTATGATGCATTATAAATTGGAAAAAATTGACAATCTTCATAATACAGTCGACCCCCGTATAAGATCATTGATTATTCCGTTTTATATGAATTCCATGTTGTACAAGTCACTTAAATTTTACAAATACGTGAGCCGTTCACAGCCCGGTACACGTATTTGTAAAATCTAAGTGACTCGTACAACATGGAATTCATATAAAACGGAATAATCAATGATCTTATACGGGGGTCGACTGTAACAACACAAATAATTTACAATTAAAAAATTTCAGTAAAGCTGACAACATTTTCATAAAAGATAAAAATGCATTTTATTATTATTTATAGTATAATCTAAAAATACAAATTAAAATAAAGTTTAGATGTGAAAGAAGTAAAATTATCATCGAAATAATAGCTAAGCATGTTGAACTACAGTGAGTGATCAGTTAACAAATAATCTGTTCCAAGACGATGTTTGCTATGCAAATTGTTTAACCAATTATCAATTTACCATAGATTTTTATGGAAATTTGATTAATTCATTCTGGAGACCCCAAAATATAAATAAAAAATTATAAACTTTCTTACTATGATTATTTATATGTAATAATAAAAATACATATATATAGTCTTTCATTTTTACCAGTCATGTTGTTTTTTTAGTTTGAAAAGTGTTAAAGAATCTGTCCAATGTTGATTACTTTTCTCTCTTCTTTAGGATTTTTGGAAGTAATTAATAGCATTGTTGTCATAGAGATTCCCAAGCCTATTAGCGTCAACCTGGCTTGGATGCCATTTTAAGACCATTGTCATTCTGATATACACTCACACTTCTTCAAAATACAGTGGAACCTCGGTATACGATCTTAATCCGTTCCTGGTGTTTGGACTTATACCGAATAGGACGTATACCAAACCAACCTTTCCCATAAGAAGTAATGTAAAAATGATCAATCCGTTCTCGTGTAAAAAAAATGGCTGGCTTTAAACACCTCGCTTTTCTCGCTAGTTTCTGCTTGATTTTTCATGAGATCATCATGTATCCTTTTAACTTTCTCGCAAATAATTTCTTCCGCCAGCACACTGTTTTTCAGTTATCCAAAGCAAAAGCAATTTCTCGACATGATCTAATGTCTTCGATCTCTGTTTAGAAATTGATTTAACCCCTTTCGCAACGTTAGCAAATTTAATAATGTCTTTATTTTTCACGATTGTCGATATCGTCGTTCTCGGAATACGGAATGCAACAGTTAAATCTCGTTAAATCTCGAACACGCGTGCCACCTTCATATTTCTCAACAATCTCTTTTTTCAGTTCCGTTGTGATTCTAGTCATTTTTTTTTTTTTCTGTTGCCCTTTTGCAATTCATGATTAATAAAAATAATAAAATGTTACTTACAAATTAAAATCAGAAGAAATTTAACAAAGTTATAAACCGTAGCACCGCGAACGTCTAGTCTAGTGTAGTACACCGATAGTGCTACTTGTTCATAGATGGCGCGTATAATTGAATTAAGTCGTATACCGAACAAAAGTCGTATACCGAGCAAAATTTGTTTCGTCCAAACAGGACGTATTCCGAATTGGACGTATTCTAAAGCAGACGTATACCGAGGTTCCACTGTATCTTTAATAGCAGATGTTGACATTGGTTCTCTTTTGTCTTCCTTTTTTCAGAAGAAAACACATCTCACTGAGTTTCTTGGTGTTCTTCATTCAAGAGTTCTTGGGAGTTCTGCCACCAGATCAGTTACAGGTTCCATTATGAGCTCTTCAATGTTCTTTGTTTCTCAGATGTGATTTCTGTTACTTCTTTAGCTGCTTGAGTCTTCTTGCAAAAAATTATTTGTCAGATAAGTAAACAAAAACCTGGAATTACATTGGTGAGTTTAAAGTTTGGAGGAATACTATCTGATCAGTATCAGGTTGAGTGATGATGTCGACATCTCTTGCGTTTTGAGAGGTTTCCAATTGTTATCTGGAGACAAGAGAAAACCAATCAGTATTTTTTTTTTTGTGTTTTTTCTGTGAAATGTTCATTGCCAGAACATAAAAATCTGTTGCAACAGTGTTTTTGTCCAATTTGTTCACAGTCTGAACTGTTCATTAACCAATCACCCATTGTATTCAACTCTTCATCCATCAAATTTTAATAATTATTTTTTTTCTCGTTTTTAAGTTTAAATAGGGACCACTTTCAATGTTAACTGTATAAAAATTTATTATGATATTCAACCAAAACAAGATCATATACTTCATGCACTTAATGAAGAAATGATCTTTTGCTAATATTAATAATAAAATAAACAAAGCATTCAAATTAATAAAGCAATGATTACAACTTGTGCATCTTGTACATTTTCCTACTTGTATACTGAAAGCATAATCATTATGTTATAGTATCAATAAGTTAAAAAAAAAAAATTTATTATACAGTAATTATTCACTAGTTCACAATTAGAAAAAAAAGCACTATTTAAGATATGGAAGAACAATTTTTAATACAGTTAAATTTTTTTTAAATAATAAAAAAGATTTTATCAATTTCTGTTTGTATCCTTGTCTATTAATAGGGCTTATTACACTGGTGTAGTGTAACAAGTCCTATTAATAAACAAGGTCCAAAGTAGACAAGGATACAAATGGAAATTGACAAGAATAACAACATAGAGGTAAAAAGAATTAAAAATAATTTTATTATTACAAAATTTTTTAAACAAAACAAAGATTGTTTACCTGAGCACTATGCCTTTCTACCATGCTTGCCATTTGTTGTTCTACCTTTTTTAATTTTGCTTGTTGTTTCTTCTTTGCTTTTTCAAATGCTGTTACTAATGCACTATAAAATAAATGATATTAATAAAATATTAATATTTAAAAAGGGTATATTTATGTATATAATGTTAAAAACTTTCAAAAGAAAAGTTACTTTAAAATAATTAATATATCAGTACTCTTGTATGCTAGTCTGTTCACATTATTGTGTGTTTCTACCACTGAGGTGAACTGTATTATCTAACAGTTCCTCCTAAGTGGTAGAAACACACAATAATAATGTGAACATGATAGAATATAAGAGTATCGTGATATTAATTATTTTAAAGTAACTTTTCTTTTGAAAGTTTTTAACATTATATATATAAATATACCCTTTTTAAATATATTTTAATCAATCTCCCAGTATTTACAAAACATTAATAACAACAACATTTCTCATTAAAAGTTAACAATAATACCTATTTGCTCGTTTCAAATCATTCACAAATTCAGTTGATTGTTGTGCTCTCATTTCTGAATTTTTTGTTACTTTTTCTAAAGTGTTGACTAGTTCTTGTATCCGTGCTTTCATTTTCATTTCGCGTTTCATTGCTTCAGCTAATTCTTCAGCCATTTCACCTGAAGGACTACGTTCTAGCCATGGCTGTTGGTTATTAACTTTTCCTCCCTACAAAGATATTAAAAATTAATTTAGATAGGATGAAATTAACTGCTAGTAACTCAACAACTGCATAAATTACAAATTTCACAATATTATATTTATAGTAAAAGTCTTATATTGTCTGTAATTTATGTATTTGTAGTGGAAGTTTAATATATCAACTCAACTAAAAAATCATAATTAAGTTTCTCATTTGAAGATTCTCACTGAACCACATAATAGCAAAACTTAATTCAAGTTCATATTTTTGAGAAAGGAAAGGAGGAAAATTTGCTGTTATATTTTAAATTTTAAATTCAATTAGATTTACCAGAAATGTATTTAAACTATTTGTATATTTAAAATTTTTAAAATACATTTTATGTATATTAAATTTAATAAATGATTGTTGCACGATTAAATAAGGATTTTTATAATAAAAGTGTTTATATTATTTTTAAAATTTTATGAAATTCTACCTTATTCAGAAATTTTATACTAATTTAAAAATGATTTAGTTTCTTACTAAATATGAGATTATTTAGTAAGAAACTAAACTTTAGTTACTTTATAGAAATTTGTAATACATTTAACTTTTAATCTCAACATACAACCCAAACTTATTAATACAAGCTTCACTATCAATTTTCCAGCATCTTTGGTTTCAAAATGTTGCTGGATTTCACTGGCTCAACTGAAGTAGTAATTATTCAGAATATATCATGGATCATTATATGTCTCCCATTCTACAAAGCACTATGGAATGTTAAAAAGATAAAGTTAAGCATATATGTGTGAGAGTAGCCAAGGGTATAAGTAAATTACCTATATCACTTACTGGCGCACAATCGTGTGATCGGCTCTCTAAACTTTTTATAGGAGGGCGGTAATATTTAGGAACAGGGGATTCAAGACTGTGAAGTCTTTATCCCAAATTGTCAGGGTCCCGACACCAGTTAATCAATCTTATAACACGCGGATTAACACGCGTGAAGTATACTTATTACGATTCAAATTAGGAGACATTTAATAAAAACGAAAATAATAAATTTAATAAAACAAGAAAATAAATCATACAAAAATCTCAATGAACGAGAGATAGAAATACCACAAATAACATATGTGACCTTTCGGGTCGGCACCTCTTTGGTACCCTGTCAGGATTGACACCACCGTGTTTCTCGAAACACGGAAACCGAGACGGCGATTACGTCACGCCGTCGCGCGAGCGGTTCCGTACGTGGTCAGACGTACGGAATGTCGATTCGAGATGACGATTCGTAATGTCGATTCGAGAGACAACATTGGAAGTGACTCAGATACACTTAACAATTAAGAAGGGTTTATTTAAAAATCTATTGGAAAAAGGGTTGTCGCAGAGAGAGAGAGTTCACATACGATTCGCAGGATGATAAATACCTTTGGTAATAGATCCCGGTCGGGTCTTGTTGAATCAGAGAATAAGAGCTTCAGTTATGGGTTTTTCAGGATGTATCCAGTTCTGATGGGTATTTTTTGATCCAGGCAATCGTGCACTAACACACACACACAGAAAAGTATATCCTATGGCGATTAATTCGAATTAATTAACGGATGATAATTGAAGGGAGGACGACTTCTTTTCTCTCCGAGGACTAAGGCAGCGACTAACTCTTTTCGGCCGTCCCTGAGGACACTCACGAACGATTTCGGCCGTGCAGAGGTTAATAGTTCACGAGAAAGCGTCATGTTGCTTTCAAGAAAATGTAACGGGAGACTTTCTCAGGTAGCTAAGAACAACAATTTTTGCGTAATTCGCGAAACGTTATTATTAAAGACTATTTCAAATATAAGAATTTCTGCTATCTCACATCACTCCGGCCTTTTGAAAATCGAGCTTGTTCGTGAAAGTGCAAGTTTGATTTTAGATTGTGATATAAGAACATTGATAAGTTGGACTTTTACTCTCTCTCTTTTTTTTCTATTTACATAATAGTAATAGGAGTACAAGTTACATATTAGTAATAGGAGTAGATAGGTTATTATTTATATAAATTTAGTTTACAAATTTACTCTCTCTCTCTTTATTTATGTTACGCGGTTAAAATAAAACACTCGGACACGTGGTTGAAGGTAAATATAAATGTTTTTTTCTCAGCCAGGACAATACCCTTTTGATACCTAATGGTTGTTATACTTTCTAATTATTTTGCACTTTGGCGCGATCGTCTTTAACCTGATTAATCTTTAACCGTACTTTTTTCGTATGCGTGGGAGAGGAAATTCTTACTGGTATGCGACTTCGCGGTGGATATGGTTTTGTAGTAAAGATTGCATCTAATGTTCTTGGATTCGGCGATGTTGTTGAGATTCTGGAGCATGCGAATATCGGAAAAATTGGGATACAGAAAATGGTGAATATCATGGCGAAGATGATGACTATAACATTACTGGATGTCTGGAGAACTGTCGATCGAACTGTTTGTTGATCTGACTCCGGTTGTTGTTCTCGCCGGCTATCTACTTTCGGTGGACTGTGGTTCTGTTTATTTTTCGTCTCCACGTGTGTCGATGCACNAAACCGAGACGGCGATTACGTCACGCCGTCGCGCGAGCGGTTCCGTACGTGGTCAGACGGATTCGTAATGTCGATTCGAGAGACAACATTGGAAATGACTCAGATACACTTAACAATTAAGAAGGGTTTATTTAAAAATCTATTGGAAAAAGGGTTGTCGCAGAGAGAGAGAGTTCACATACGATTCGCGGGATGATAAATACCTTTGGTAATAGATCCCGGTCGGGTCTTGTTGAATCAGAGAATAAGAGCTTCAGTTATGGGTTTTTCAGGATGTATCCAGTTCTGATGGGTATTTTTTGATCCAGGCAATCGTGCACTAACACACACACACAGAAAAGTTTATCCTATGGCGGTTAATTCGAATTAATTAACGGATGATAATTGAAGGGAGGACGACTTCTTTTCTCTCCGAGGACTAAGGCAGCGACTAACTCTTTTCGGCCGTCCCTGAGGATATTCACGAGCGATTTCGGCCGTGCAGAGGTTAATAGTTCACGAGAAAGCGTCATGTTGCTTTCAAGAAAATGTAACGGGAGACTTTCTCAGGTAGCTAAGAACAACAATTGTTGCGTAATTCGCGAAACGTTATTATTAAAGACTATTTCAAATATAAGAATTTCTGCTATCTCACACATACAAATCGAGAGATAGCTATACTTATCTTCTACACTATTCGCGATCGAGAGAGAGCTCACAAAAATCGTTATAAAACATACAACCTGTTTCAGTTGTCGTTTGTCTTCTTCTCTGTATGCAAGGGACACTTTGGAGATAAAGTTCATTTACTTCTTCGTATGGGAGATCACTATATGCACAAATATAAAGGTATCACTTCTATGTGCAGACTCTAGACTTATTCTGTATGTGACTCGTCTAAGGACGTTGGTCATCAGGAGGGAAACGTATGTGGAGTTTGGACGCTTTCGGATCTGTCGCTCAACTCCCTGAATTCTGACAAGTTCCCTGTATATCTTCGGAATACCGACCAATCATCGTAACTCTTTCATGAGAACGGATGAAAGGGGAATGAATGAGGGGTAACCATTTCCCATCTGAGCAGGATTTTAACCAGATAAGGGAAAGTCAGAGGATGTTCTCTTCTGTGAAAGGAAGTAACATCTGTTATCTGCCTTTTCCCACGTTAAAACAGTATTTTTCTCACCAAAAATGAAGTAATATTTGGTGACAATATTTAACATAATTAATAAAATTATTAGCTTAAACCCAGGGGCCTTTCGGGTCTCACATATGACATATGAACCAATCTTTATACTTCTTAATACTGGTACTTTCAATCATCTTTTTTAAAAGCCTTAATCAGGGTTAATGTAAGTAAAGTAAGCTAGAAATTGTACAAAATAGAGGAACCATAGCAACTGCCATGTAGGCAATTCAAGTGAATGTGTGATCATCTATGAACAAGACTGGTGGTCATGGAAATTTTAACATGGAAATTTTAAATATTACAGGTAGGCTATAATATTATGAAAAATAAACGAAGTGCCAGATCATCATGTACCAAAAAATTAGTGATGTATCTGTATTATTCATTTGGTAAAATAAATTACTTCATAAATTATGGTTATGAAATAAAAGTATATGAAACAGAAATTGTAAGAAATTATAATTATTATTAAAAATTTAATTATCCAAAAATATTGTGATCTTAGTTTTTCAAAATATAGTAGAATATAATTTTATATACAGTGATGACTCATATTTCAAATTTAATTCATTCCAGGAGGGCATCTGAATCATTTGAAGTTTAAAGAAATTTTTTCCACTAGAAATAATGGAAAGTGAATCCGTTCCCTGACCCTAAACAATACCAATTTCAACTAACTTAAAACAGCAAAAATTCACATAATTTAAAGTAAAAATAACATAATTAAATGCCCTATTAATAGATTAAAGCATAAAAACAATAAATAGAATATGTAAATACTGTATAATAAAATGAAAATTGCATTTACTGGTTGCACACAATTGACTTTGACATTTTAAAAATGGCTGCGAGATCCACCATGTGTACAGTTTTCATGCTTTACACTTTATGATAAGTTCCTTTCTCATCTGGATCATGGATACTACACCTTCTTCTTATGTGTTAGATTTCATTACTTCCATACACTTCTTTCATGCCATGATTAATAAGTAAAGGTGATATTGGGTTGAACAAAGTTTTTGTGTATTGTTAATAGCTATTGTTACTTAATATAGATGTGTGATTTAATTATAACAGTTGTAAAATTTAACATACTATTGCTAATAATGAACAAAGTATTCTTTGTTCATTAACTTATTTTATATTATTTAGAACAATTTAGAAATTTGAATCAATACAATTTGAACTACCAGAATGAAAATTTTCAAACCAATTCTGTAATATTCATGGATAAAAATTATTATACCAATTCATAAATGTTTTGATATTATAAAGGTCCTGTACAAGTTATAATATATTGTTTATTTTTTAAAATTTTCTTAAATATAAGGATAATAGAAATTTAAAATATCAACACAAATAATTCATAATACAAACAAACAAAAGTAATAACTTGTTAATAAAAATATGCAATTTTTTTTGTAAAACAAGATTCAGAAAAGCTAAGATTTATCAAAACTAAAGTTTTTATTAATCATATTTCTCATATAATAAAAACTTCAGTTTTAATAAATCTTAGCTTTTCTGAATTGTTATATTAGATATGGAATCTGCAAACTTGTTAAGTGAATGTTACATATTCCATATATAGCATTCACTTAACAAGTTTCAACTTCTCTAAAATTAAATGTATAATAATATTTATACTAACCTGAGTAGTTCTAAGCCTTTCAGCAATTTGCTGATTCTCTTTTACTTCAGATTTTAAATGTTCTATCTGTACAAGATAAGCTTGTTCCTGTGCCTCTCTACTACTTAATTGTAATTCTAAAGCTGTCTTTTCTTTTTCTAATAAATAAACTTGAGCCTTTAATTCTGCTTTTTCTTCCTTCATAAAAGAAAATAATAATTAACATCAGGAATAAAAATTATTATTATTATCATCAAATATATACACAAACTTTCATAGCCATTAATTCCTGCATCAATACAGCATTTTCAAGGTCAAGTTTTTGGGCATCCATAAAAGTTGGTGGATCTTTTACAGTAGGATCAACATGAACACTTTCTAATTCAACAACAGTTGTACGTACAGCTGCTCTATCACCTTTCAACTGAACAATGTAATCCCGTAGACGTTGTTCATCAACTTTTGTAAAGTCTCCATCACTACTGCTAGATGCAGAACTTGTAGTACTAAAAGGAATATTTATTTTTAGCTCATAATAAAGTGAAAAAAGAATATAAAATTCATAATGGCAGTCATAAAACTCTATAATATATTTAGATGACAATTCAACAAATGCAGCCCATTGTAAAATATGTTCCAAATCTATTAATGTAGAGTTTCTATATTGAAAGTGTATTAAACAAATCAAAAATATCAACCAAGTCAAAGCAATAATTTAAAGCATATTACAAATCAAAATTAATCATGTATAAAAAGAACAGGAAATTCAAACTCATTTATTTTCTTTCTTTCATTCCTTATTTAATACTCAAATTTTATCATAAAAGTGAAAAATTAATAACTTAATACAATTGATGGCATATATTTTATATTGCCCAGTTAAAATGTATTGTACAAATATAAATATCTTAAACCCAATAGTTAATATATTAAAGCCAAACAATTACTGGATTATATCAGACTATTTAGACAGATATAATCCAGCAATTGTTTTGCTTTAAAATGTATTATTTATTTCAGAAATTTTTACAAAATAAAAAAAGATACTGGTAATAATAATAATAATAATAAAAATTTCAATTATATATATATATATATATATATATATAACTCATTCTATCAAGTTAATTATATACAGTAGACCCCCTATAACGCGGGTTCATATAATGCAGATTCGCATATCGCAGCGAAAAAATTGCGACCGTATTCGTATAAAGACGCTAACAGAGACTCGTAAAATGCGGTAAAATGTCATCGCTGACTCATGTCGCGACAGGATTGGTCGAATCTGGACCAATAGTGGATGAGCAGCTGAACTACTTACACGCTAGGAAGAGTTTAGGTGGGTAAGTTGAGTTTACTATCGTCTGTACAGTATATAAATTAAGTACTGTAAGTCTAATACAGTACTGTAATTTTATACATTTTTTGTGAAAAAAAACATTTCTTATTCAACGGTCATAAAAATTATTTCTATTAATGATGTCTCCAAAGTTCAACAAATTTTTCGCAGAAAAATAACTTATCAGAAAACGCAGTCACCGTTTGGTGCGCTGCTTCGCGATGAAAACAAGCTTAAGCAATGGTGTGGTTGGTGGTTGAACGGTGCACACTTGGTAAGTAATCCTACAATTTTTTGTTTATAGCATAGTTTATACAGATTATTCCCAAAAAATTATACGTGTTTTGGAAATGTTGAGTGAAATTAATCTAGAATCGATTAATTTTATAGAAGAAAACCTTTCAAACAGCTGTAGTCCGTAAACTGCACACATGTCAGGCTGTGATTGGCTCATGTATTTGAGGATTCCTACAATGTGAAATTCTTATAAAGTGGAACGTATCTACCGCGTTATAGGGGAATCGACTGTATATGTTTTAATGGTCTTCATAGAGTTAAATAGTTCATTATGTGATCAAAGAATAAAAACTTTTTACTAAAGAATATATACATACCATAACTATAAAAAATATTACTTATATTGATTTATTACTTATGTTGAATAAGCTGCTTTTTTAAATCATCATAAAAAAACAATACCTTGTTGTATGACTGTGTGATGATAAATCTTCCCAAGGACTAAGATTACACCCAGGAATACTACAAGCAATTCCAAAACTGCGGTCAAGTTTCTGAAGAAAATGACGAGCAACATTTTCTGCGGATTTACGATTATCTTGAGATCGTTTTAATAATGCAGTAACTTCTTCTTGATCATCTTCTCCAGAACCTTTTACTAAAAATATTAAGTGATTTTGAAATTATGAATTAGAATGGACATTATAATGTATACAGCCTATCTCTAATGTAATCGATTACCAACTAAACTGACAAGTTAATTATTAGTGAGTATGTAGCAATAAAAAAAAGACTACATTAACATCTTATGAAAATGTAATTATTAAACAATAATTAGTTTTTAATACTATTGTAATATCTAGCTAAACATTTATCTCAGGCTAGAGTTAAAGAGACTTTTCAAGTTTTAATCCTGCTATATGTTGAATTTTTCTCTCAAAGTTTCAAAGGTACTAAATAAATTTAAAAATTTATTATAATTAATTTACAATCAGCAAAAAAGCAGTCCAGTAATAAAAATCTGATATTATTATATAACATAATTTGAAAAATATATCATCTATTGTTAAATTCAGTTATTAAGATATTAAAAGTAAAAAATTATTTACAAATTTTGACATTAAAATACTTAATACAATATTTTCAGTATCTTCTATTTAATGCAGTATTATAATGAAATGTAATACTCTGTCTGTCCCATAATAATAGTAGCAAGTGAATATTTAAACAGGAATTATTGGCAGATACAGCTGTAAGTTATGTTGTAGCACAAAATTGCAAAGCCTTCAATCAAAATAGATTTTTCATGACATCTGTTATTTGTTTTGACATATTTTTCAATTTTTGGTTTAACCTAATTAATACAAATTATAAGTATTTTTCTAATTTCATCTGCTGATCAAAATCAATTGTTTTATTTCAGTTGAATATTAACCCATTATAAAAGTAAGATGAAAAAAAGAGAGTTTTCAAGCAAAGGTCAAGTTGTAATTATTCAGTTCTTGATGAATCGAAAGAAAAACGAAAAGCAAAGCTTCGAAGCCAAGAGATCCTACCTACAAGTTTAAAATACAGAAATTATCGAAAAATCCAGAAACTATCTGAACACTCAAAATGAAAATTAGGAGTAATATTTTTAATTCATTGTTTAGTTTAATCTAGTTTTTTGATAATAAATGTTGCATTCTATATTTATTTTCTTTTGCTACTGTTATTATGAGACAAATTAAATTCATTAACTGCTATTATTATTATGGGACAGAGGGAGTACTAAAGAATATCAAAAGAACAAAATGCATATTGTACTGTTTTTTCCTAGATCCTTTTGTTTTATCATATATATGTACTGTACAGTAAAAGTTTGTTAATCCTGCACCTATAGAACCAGAATCATGTTGGATTCTAAAAAAATGCCAGATTACTTTATGGTTATGAATTTGTCAAAAGCTGCAAACATCAAATAATGCTTTCAAGTCTGATCCTAAAAGATATTTGTACCACTTGTTTGGCAAGAGTGACATAAACATGTATTAGGCACAGAAAAGCAGGACTTTTATTCTGCTTTCCTGAGAAATGACTTATTTTGTCACAACATGCTGTAACAAAATTTTCAAGTTTTTCAGAACTTTAGTGAATGATCCAGATTTTGAAAGGAGTGCAAAAGCAAAACGAGGCATTTTGGATGCGATCTTCTGCTACTGACATTTGCTTAAGGAAAGAAAAAAGTGACAAATGAAACTTCACGACTTTATTGCAAAAGAACAAGAATTTCAGAAAAGTCACGAGCAATTTTGTCACAAACAATTAACTCTGTGCATATTTATGTGTTATTTAACATATATTATTTTGTGAGATAAGCTGGGGGTACAAAGTTGATAGAACTTGTGTACCACTTAATCAGCACAAGATCTTGTGATCCAATCTCTACGTCAGTGGATGGCTTTAAAAGTGTTAAAAAGGATCTAGATTGTGAAATCAAGATCCACGTCAGAAGGTTGACACCAGTTAAACTATTTGTTTGCAATTTAACTCGCGATTCTTCTATTATTTTGATTAGGAGGGTTCGTTAGAGTGGAGTGGATGGAGACTTTAATTCAATCATTAATGAGACCTTTTTTTAAGTAACAAACAAAAGATATTTAATAAAACGAAATAAAAATATAAATTGAGGTTACAAATATATTAAGCTTCCTAATATGCAAGAGAGAGAAATTACAATTTTCGTAGGTTATACTACCTCCCCAACATCTTTGATACTTGGTCTTTCACGTTGTCTTCTCCTTTTGGAGTGTCGAGAAAAAGATTCGTTTACTTCTTCATCTTGGGTATTTTGGACGGCACTTGTTAAAACAGCTTCTTATTGTGGGAGATATTTGGCGCATTTGATTATAGGCTCTAGCCTTTTTGGAGATCAAATGGAATTCGTCCTTCTCCTTTTTGGAGGTCTGGCACTCTCAGACTATGGGTGCAGTCTTTGGAGACTCGACAGGAATATGTCCTTCTACATCGAGAACTTGTGGCACACTCCTAATTATGGTCATTAGCCTTTGGAGAGAGACCTGGAATATGTCCTTCTACATCGAGAAGTTGTGGCGCACTCCCTGAACAATATGAAAGAATCCCCTTTTTCGAAGTTCTCCTCCAATGAACGTATTGTATTTTCCCATGTAAACAAGATGAGTGGGAAATTTTATAAAGATTGACTATCAGTTGAGTGACTAATTTTTTTTAAAGATAAGGGAAAAAGAAAAGGATGTTTCAACTTCCATTGGAGAGGAAGTGTGTTTTAACGGTTTCCTTTGCTTGTGAAAATAAAACTTTTCCATCAAAATTTACAAAATATTACTTTCAAAATTATTTCATTTGAAATTAATTTACACAAACAAAGGGGTATTCGAATCCTCACAATTNTCCAGATTTTGAAAGGAGTGCAAAAGCAAAATGAGGCATTTTGGATGCAATCTTCTGCTACCGACCGACATTTGCTTAAGGAAAGAAAAAAGTGACAAATGAAACTTCACAACTTTATTGCAAAAGAACAAGAATTTCAGAAAAGTCAGAACCTTTGTCACAAAAAATGAACTTTAGATTTCTCTGTGCATATGTTTGTGTTATTTAACATATATTATTATATAAATTAATATAAAAATAACTTAAAATTAAAGTAAATTTGTTTACTTTTGGTTGCATGTTCCCCTATCCCTATTTACTCGATGTTAAAATGACCTCATTTAATGCTATTTCGCTTAGTGCTTTGCCATCTAGGAACACACCCCCTGCGTTCAGCAGGGTCTTACTGTATATGTATCAAATATATACCATTAGTGACTATTTCTATTTGTTGTTAAATTTTAATTAAAAAAAAAATATTGGCTATTCAGTGGCTACTTTCAAGTTAGTGACATTTGCATGGTGGCATTTTGGAAAAAGGTTACATTCTTTGTTAATGCATGAAACTGATGCTATTACCAAGTGTAATCAAGTGAAGAACAACAATTTGTTTAATCCTGTGTTAAGTTGTAGATATAAGAATTAGATTACATGCATTTTTTTATTTGGACAACACAATAAGTTTTATGGAATGTTGAGTTATCAAGAGTTGAATTTCTGGGACTATACTGTATTTTCATTTTATTTCAAATCATGATATTTAATTCTTTTGTATAATCACTTTATTCATTTATTCTCTTAAACTTAGATAATATACATATTTGTATATTTTGTATATATTTATGGAGTGATTTGAGTGATTGAAATGTTATCTCCTGTTAAAAAATCTAATTCCACAATTTTTTTTAATATAAAAGTAAATTTTTTATTTTATATATTTTAATATTATTCTAAATTTTATTTTAAATTTACTGTATTTACTCTCATATAAGACGAGGTTTTTATTCATTTATCATAGCTTCAAATTCCTAGGTCGTCTTATATGCGCAAGCAAAAGATTCTTTGTGTTTTTGCAAATAATTTTTGTGAACTGTGTATTTGCATTTTTTACCTTATGCAAAAAACATAAGTATTTTATATGAGTCAATTGAATCGTTCTTGTATATTGTCAGGAGTAAAGATGATGGGCAATAGAAAAAGCAAAGCTTTTGAATTGAATTACAGATTGAAATTCTAAAATCACATGGGAACCTGATATAAATTTCAATCCATTCCCACCTGAAAACAGATGATTATTTGGAAATCAGAATTCAGAGAAACTCATAAGTGTAATTGACAGAGAGTGGATTTGACTGTTAAGAATTGGCAAAAAAAGATTCCCAATTGTCCAGCTTTACACAAACAAATTATGTTGTTGATTTTATAAGATTTTCTTTAAAGTTTAAAATGCCAGTAATTTTTGCAAAACAATGTGTGTATTTATGTTCATTTGATATTTTACTTATGATTAAATGAAATGAAATTAGAATTGTGTTAATAAATCTAATTTTCTTTATTTTGATCTTTAAAGTCACACCTCGTCCTATATACGAGTAAATACAGTATATTTTCTATACTTTTGTACATTCATATGGATGTATTATATTTTTCACATAACAATCAATTTTAAATAAATGCTAACCATTCATTTCTAAATGATGTAATATTGCAAAAAATGATTTAATGATTTAAAAAAAATCTAAAATTTAGTTATTTTTTCAATCTTGATATTACAATAAAGTGAAAAGTAAAAAACATTAAAAGTTTTTATTTTCTTTTGAAAATGTTGAATTTTCTTGATTTTAAGATATACATTTCACACATTTTAATTGAAAACTTATATTTAAAACATCATGCTGCATCTTACTACTGATAGTTTCTTATGTTCAATATGAAAAAATCTCATCAATTTGACAACTGTGAAAAAGCAAGTTGTGCACAATCATCATTATCTGTACAAGTGGACTTAGTCATAACTGTTCATTTCATTGTCATTTTAATAAAGTACACTAATAATTAGTTGTTGAATTTAACTGAAGTTTATTCTATTGCCAATTAAAATGGTATTATAATGTAATACAGTCAATTCTGCTTAATTGGGACATGTTAGGACTAATCTATTTTGACCCAATAAAACAAACTAATAATAAATTCTAAAATAAAATATGTAATATGTAGGTAAATAAATAAGTAGGTAAAAATTAATAATTTAGATACCTATTTTAATGCTTTATTAAACCAAAATACAGAAAATATTTGTACTATAAATTTGCCAGACTCACAATGATAGATAACCGATTCGGATCACATTAGTGTTGTCAAATACAGTATTAGTAGTGATGTACACAAGGATTGACTCTTCAATTCATTCCTGATCAAACGATTTTTCCTTTTTAGTTACAACATGTTCTAATTAAAAAGGGAGAAAGGAAAGGGTTCATCCAAAAGTCACCTTATGGTCTTCCTTTGAGTACAGTTTCCTATACTTGGAGATGGACCACTTTGGCAGGAGCGTCCATAGAATCCACCAGCTCCAGATGCTGGTCTCAACGATCAAATGGCTGCTGTTCAAATCTAGACATAATTATGCAAACAATACCTTCCAAAGAAACTCTAACTGTCTTCCAATTCAGTCGAGAAACCTTGAAAAATTGTCCAGGGAACTTTGTCTCTTTGCTTTTAAAGGAATTGTCCGGTCCAATCCAGAGCATGGTCAGTGCTTCTGCATTGGACCATCATATTCAGGTCCATCTCAGATGGAATCCCCATATGATACGTCCTGCTATGGTGACCTCCCGGAAAAACTGAAATGCCTGAGTGAAAGACAAAATCGCTTTGTCTCTGCCAATCGTTAGGCCTACACAACGTTAGTGTACTGAATGTAGTGTCTACATATTTTCAGAAGATCCTTAAAATATATCAAAACTTGCCAAATTCCTTTTCTGCTACTGTCTCAATTAAGTGATTAAATTATGTATTAATTTATTAGTTTGGTATCCATTCCTTGAGATTTGGCCCAATAAAGAAGCTGCCCTGCTTAACTGGTGGCCCAATTAAATGGAATCAATTGTATTTTAAAAAATTTTTCAATTAGTATGTTTAGATATTTGCAGTACACAGTAATGCTTGAATATCCAGTAAGAAAAATGTCATCCCGGTTGATCAGTACCCAGTGAATGGAACAGATAAATTTCTTTGAAAATTTACCTGTTCCATTCACTGGGTACTGATTTGAAAATTTGAAAAAAACAATGCATACAATTATTTAGTTACTGGTATAAACTGGACACTTCAGTAAAGTACGTCATTTTCTTTCCCTCCTTCTGGCCAATAGCCTGTAAAACAGATGAGTCATACAGCAATCTGTATTGTCTTAATGCTCATCCATAGTTATTTTAGGCATTCCAGTTAGTCTAAATTTCAATTAATGTGATCAAGGATAATCTGTATTACTGTATTATTACTTTATTTTAGTATACTGTATTTTTTCAAAATACAGTATATTAAAATAAAGTAATAATACAGTAATACAGATTATCCTTGATCACATTAATTGAAATTAAAATAAAGTATTACTTTGAAAAATTAAATTAAATTTATTAGATAAACAAAAATATTTTTCATGTATCTCGTACTTGTTAATCTAGACAAAGTTTCTTTCCTAACTGATTTCAGATATTAAATACAAACAGAATTTTTATACTTTGAAAAATATTATCTGTTTCAAACTTAATCACTACAGATAAAAATCTGAACATTTCTCTAAATAAAATTTATTTTTATAATATATTAATTGTGAACTTCAAAATACAGTAATGGAATCTTATGAAAACTTAAAATTAAATTAATTTTAAACTTACCAAGTGCACCAAGTCCTGCTGCTCTGCAATTTGACAGAATTAATCCTTGTTCTGTTTCCATCAATGCTAATAACACTTCAAATGCTTCAATTGTTTGATCACTATATGACAATGCCAACTGTAAAGCTGTATTATTGGATTCATATTTTCCAATAAGCACACTAAGTCTATCACATTGGCCTTTGCTTTCTTCCAAAGTCAAATTTAATAAATCATTTTGTGATTTCAAATGTTCAATTCTACTATTAAGCCTTTCCATTTCAACTTCAAACTCTCTAATTTTGCTCTCAGGTACTGTAGAACCTGATGAAAATAAAGTCTGAAATATTTCCTGAGCATGTGATTCTTCCTGGACATTATGCACCAAATGCTCTGCAACTTTTGTCGTTGATAACTACAAGTAAAAACAATTTTTAATATGATATCACATTACTAACAACTATTCTGAATTGTTCGTAAGTTTAATTTTCCATTATTGACTTTAGTAAATTAATAATTAGAATATCATTTTAAAATAAAAATTCATAATTTGAATTTCCTTTTTATACAGAAAGAAAATAATCTAAATTTTAAATTTAAAATAAAATCATTCTTTTTTAATAACTATTATTAAAAAACATAAAAATTTTATGTGAAGACTAAAAATTTATTATAATTATAATCCATANCAGTGGTTCCCAAACTTTTTTGATTCTTGGCACCCTTGCTAAATCCAGATTTTCCCAAGGTGCCCTATGTCAAATTCTAACATATACAATTTGCAAAATAGTGAAATAGCCAATATTTTTTAAATTAATACAAAATATTAAATTTGATTAGGTTCATATGAAAAAAGATAAGAAAATAAATTATATATTTACACCAAGACTAGAAATTTCTGAACCAAGAATATGCCTATCACCACTTTCCACTTTTTTCAGTCTGACTCTTTCAGCCATTTTTGCAATTGGAACCTCCTCTCTGGAAGTTGGAGTTCTTTCTCCTGTTGTAGGATTTATATGTGGGCTTTTACTTCTAGTGGGAGAACTTCCTGTTTGTGAACCTTGGGAACTTTGTGATTGTAGGCTGGCTAGCTTAGTTTGTAATTCACGAATCTGAAGAATAAAATTAGAATTTGATTAAATTTTTATTTTTTAAGTGAACTTATAAATTAATATTAACAGTGATTTATCTTACCCGTCTCTGTAATCTATCCCTTTCCTCTCTGCTACTGGCTAAACTGGCTCGGGTTCGATTCAATTCAGCTTCTTGTCTTCCTAACTGCTCTTGCAATGCTGTATTTTCTGCTCTCAGACTCAATACTTCTTCTTGCAATTGTGAAATCTGCAAGCTATGGCAAGAAGTTGCTCTATTCTCTGTGAGTGCAGGAAGATCACTAACTTCTCTTAACTACGTGATTCATTTTAAAATTAACAATTTATGAATTATTATTAAGTAAAGAGTGTGAAAAAATGAGAAAGACCTGTAATAATCTATCTTCTGAACTTTCATTATCTCCTAATCCACTGCTTGCTTCTTCACCATCTTGAAGGATAGTTCGTGTAACTTCTGGATGAGAATCAGTTTCACCAAATCTGGATAATTCCACACAAGAATCATTCCCTAAAAAGAAATCTTTATAATAATTTACTTCCCACTTGTAATAAAAATTAATTTTAAAACAAAAATTTTGAAATTTAAATGAATAAATTTTACAGGAAACAAAATTTCTGTGAATATACTGTCTACTTGGACCTTGTTTATTAATAGGACTTATTATACTGGTTTAGTTTCTGATTAGCAAATAGAGAAAATCTTAGTCATAAGTCAAAACAAAAGAGGTGAAAATAAAGATATTTTCTTTTGACTAATTGCCATACTTTCCCTGTTATATATAAACAGCTGGGAAAGTAAAATAGCTAAACTGATATATATTAGGTGCAATCATTTTGAAAAAGTTTGTTGTTGTTGGATTCAGTAGACAATGATGATATAAAAATTACTTAAGATATAACTTCTAATCAATGAACCTCTTAAGCATTCAGTATCTATTGTCTTGGAAGACAATATAGAGACAAAATTAAATCAGGCTCAGCTCATCAGATCCTCTACAAATTGGAACCACATCAGGCTCTGAGTCTATTGGAATATTTACTGCTAACCATAACTCCAATACTGGCCTTTTCAAATTCAAATGCTACATGACCATTCTATTTGGGGCATTCCAATTCGAAACTAACTATTTCAACCTAAAGCTGGAATCAAATGGATTCCAAAAATGTTTGTGATTTGTCATGTCTTCCATGTTTTACTGGATGCTGAAGAGGTTCAGTGATTAGAAGTTATTATGTGTCCAGTGATAGGAAAGTACATTTTTTGTTACTTAATATATAATTAAAAAAAAATTAAAACACTAAATATTTAATCTAAAAACCATTTGTATCCAATTTGAATGAGTGAAGTATAAATAATTATAAATATTTTTCAAGCAAACATCTACATAGAGGCCAAGTTTAATGAAAAATTAATTTTCTAATAACTGTATGTATTGTATACAGTAGTGGTTCCCAAACTTTTTTGATTCTTGGCACCCTTGCTAAATCCAGATTTTCCCAAGGTGCCCTATGTCAAATTCTAACATATACAATTTGCAAAATAGTGAAATAGCCAATATTTTTTAAATTAAATAAAATTATAAAAATTATATAATATTTTATGGTGCATACTTTGGGAAGCGCTGGTATACAGGGTTCATACTCAAATTTTTGTTTTAAATTTCCTGATTTCTTGAACAACTTTGTACAAATTCCCCAACTCTCATATCCCTTTCAGTATAGTACATTGACAAAATAATTTGGCTTACTACGCATATATGCCAGGGGTGGGCAAGCAAGGGTTCAGTGGGAGCCGAAATGTAGGTTTTGCAAAATACATGGGAGCCGTAGTTCTGTACTTTTTTATTCTGTACTGCAATTTTATTATATAATATAAATATAATATAAAACAAATATTGAATTTTTTTAATAAACATATTTTCACAAAATTGTGGAAATAAAATTGTAAAATAATAATAAAAAGCAGGAGCTGCATTTGCCCATGTCTGATATATACTATTGCTTTTCAACTTTTTAATTAATAATGTTTTCTAATTAACAGTTATATATTTTTATAATTGCTAAATTATTAAAACTAAAAATAACATGTTTTATTAAATTACAGTAGTTTACTCTGTTATTAATTAATCCACAACCATAAATGTAAACGGCTTTGGAGAAAAAGGAAAAGCAATTATTTATTTATTGTTCATTAACAAATCCTTTATAATCCATGTGCAAAAATACATACATTAAGACCCCCACTAAACGTGGGAGATGCATTCCTAGATGACAAAGCACTAAGCAAAACAGTGTTAAATGAGGCCGTTTTAACATAGAGTAAATAGAGATAGGGGAACACACAACCAAAAATAAACAAATTTACTTTAATTTTAAGTTATTTTTATATTAATTTATATAATAATATATGTTAAATAACACAAACATATGCACAGAGAAATCTAAAGTTCATTTTTTGTGACAAAGGTTCTGACTTTTCTGAAATTCTTGTTCTTTTGCAATAAAGTTGTGAAGTTTCATTTGTCACTTTTTTCTTTCCTTAAGCAAATGTCGGTCGGTAGCAGAAGATTGCATCCAAAATGCCTCATTTTGCTTTTGCACTCCTTTCAAAATCTGGATCATTCACTACAATTTGATCAACAATTTTGGTTATCTTACCAAACTTTTACTAAGGAAAGCTGTAGAGAAACTGTTTGAGTTCTTCATTTCCAGAATCTCTATTTTCCAGTGCCAGTAAATTCCAAGTTCTGCCAGTTCTTGAAGGATGTCATTGGTATGGCTTTCACCAGAAACCTGCTGTAACTCCTCAATATCCTGCTCGTCTATATCTCCTAGTCCTGCTATATTGATTAGGTTGAGTTTGGTCAACCTAACGATACAACGATAGGCTCTTCTGATTGAGAATTCTAGGATACCTTCAGCCATAACTTCTTCCACATTTCGTTCGTGCATTTATTAGTTAATTTTTGCCAAGCAAAGTTGATATTTCCTATGGAATCCATGATGTTATATTTTTTCCAAAATTGCACCAAACAAACATATATTTAAAGAAAGTACACCTTTTTGCCACCTTTTGCTGATTGGTTTGTGTTCGCAAATAATCATATTATATATGAATCAATGAAATGCCGCAATAATTTAAATCAGCGTAAATTTTGAGCTTTTTTTCCAGTTTCAAGCAGATGGCGTTTCAAGCAGATGTAATCAATACAGTAAGACCCCACTTAACAGCATTAAGTGGGGTCTTACTGTATTGATTAAATTTATCCCTTAATAAATTTCCTGAACTTTATAAATATTAATAAACTGGGGGAAATCAGAAATTGTTTTATTATGCATCAAAATGATTAAGATGAAAAATGATAAATAATTTTAATTTAAATGGTATTATTTATTATTTTTTGTATTTATTAAGTTGTATTTATTGATACGTATTATTGATTTTAAGTATTTATTTTAATGAGATTAACTAAAAATGATCTGTTTAATAAAGAAATTGTGATTAGAAAATAAATTTAATTACTGATATATTACAGTTAGACTTAAAACACAGAACTGGCATCAATATATTTTAAGGTTTAATAATTTGATAGTTAAGCTGCAAATCAAGAATGGCCCTCAACTTTCTTATTCTGGTTTTTTCCCCTATATAAGCCTATGAAATTTAACCAAACATTTTTGAACAACTGTAAAAACAAATTATACTGCCAGATTTCAACTGGGCTATAATATGGCTAATTAATTATAAATGCATTACATAATTTGAGCTAAAGGAAGATATTTAAGCCTGTATGTTGTATTATATATATATATAAATAAATAAATAGATAAAATTTCTATTCAGNTGAAATTAAAGTAATAATAAGCTCAGCAAGAGTATGGTGTTTTGTTTATATTTGTAAATCAGAAATGTATAGTTTTTTACAAAAATTAAACAATTTAATTGATCTATAAGCAAAATCTGGTTTCTAAAAATGTAATTATTTGACTATATTCACAATGTTTATCAGAATATAATTGGATTGTGAAATGAAATTTGTTTAAATAAATTTATAAATTATTCATTTGGAAATATTTTTAACTTTTCTATTTATCTTAATTGACATGATTGTAAATGAAATTATAATATAGATATAAAAAAGTTTGAAATTTATTATTTCATCATACTACTCCAAAGCAAATTAAATTTAAAGACAACAAAATATTTAAGATATGTTGTTCTTCTCTTTTTTCCTTGATTCAGTAATCTTTTATTATTTGATTGCAACAAGTGTTTCAGAAATATTAACATTTACAAAATAAAAGTTTTTTTATTAAGATTAGTTCATATTAATAATTAAAAATGTTAACAAAGTTCTACCTAATTATACAATTTATTATGTCATTGTAAATTATAATTGAAATATAAATATAATTTATATTTTTATTACTAAAAAGAATTATTTTTCATTTTTATTTCTAAACTTTTTAATCTATATATTATACTTGTGTCCACTTTGAAGTTCCTGTGAACTACTTATTAATCGAGGGAAGAGAAAAAAATAATTTCCAATTAAAACATATTTATTGTAATGTAATTTTAACCTACATGTCTAGAAATCTAATAGAAGAATACACTAGAAAGAACCTAAATGTAAATTTTAATAAGATAAAAATATATACTTTACAAATAAATGAAATTTTCATTAATGGTGTGACATAAAATATCGTGATTATGCAAATTTATGGTTAATATAAAAACAAAATTAAACAGTAAATTGATAAAAAGGAGGAAAGCAATAAGAGCATTAAACTCAGTATTGTGAAGCAAGAACAAAATGATGAAACTAAGAAGTTATTAATACATTTTAAGATTGTATTATTTATTTATGCTATATGAAGCTGAAACATGGACTTTAGATGAGAAAAACCAAAAGAGACCTATTGGCAACACAGATGATTTCTAGAGATCTTTGGAAAAATTCAATGAAAAAAAGCTAGAAATACTGCAGCAAAAATATGGTAAATGTAAAAAAGACTGCATTGAATAAAGTAGAAAAATAAACATTAGACTGGTATGGGCAAATGCAGAGAATGGTGAAGGACAGCATTCTAAAACAAAATTACAAACTGAATATGCCACAAGAAGATAAATGATAAAAATTAGATAGATAATGCAAACTCTGCAATGAGGAAAAAATTCTGTTGAAGGATGACTGACTAGATAAAAAAGAAATAAAAAATAAAAATTAAGAAATGATCTTATTGCTCATTTGGTCAAGGATAATCATTGTAAGAATACATAGAAAAAACATTTACTTTAAAATTAAATAATCCTTTAAAAGTAAAATCTTTTCTAATTGAGTGTAAAAATGAAAATAAGAAACATTTAAAAATTAAAGATTTTCTAACGTTATTCAGTTGAAACCAGTTTTATCAAAAAACTTTAAATTTGTAATGTAAAGCATAATTTCATAATATTTAATTCTAGAAATTATGCAGAGGAAAAAAAATATTTAAGGATCTATAATTTGTAAAGTATTTATTAAAAATCAAATTATAAAAAATTTACCTCTATCACTGCAAGATTCTGTTGCATTATTATCGTTGCTAGTACAATGACTTTGAGCTTCACTTTGCCTTGATTCCTCACCAGACTGCTGACTAAATTCATCTTCTTCTCTATAAAAATAATTGAAGAGTCAAAAATTGATTTTCTTGGCAACTGAAAAACACATGACCTTTTTAAAATTAGCAATCAATAAACTATCATTTGATTTAAAAAATACAATAAAATAAAATAGTAACAAAGCATTAAAAATATATTTAAATACAAGTATTGAATGCATAACAGTTAAGATTTAAATATAATATAAAATTATTTAATGTATACAGATTATCAAAAGTAAAATCTAAATGAAATAAAATTTACAACAGCTGAACTTAATGATCTCTGATCTCTAGACATTTCCATAACAACAAATTATAAAAATCAATGTATTACTTTATAACATTAGTCCTTTGTATTTCCAATTTCTTAGATAATTCTGCAATGATGCTATGTAATTCAGTCAAGCGTTCTTCATATCTCTGTGCTTGCTGGTCTAATCTTTCTTCATGTTCTCGAGCAAGACGTAATCTATCCAGCTGACAAAAATATATATATTTAATCTCCTAAATTATATATATTTTTAAATTATTGATACTTACTTGGGATCTATTAAGTTGTCTTTCTAACATGTCACGCTCTTGACCAATATGTTGTAAACGATTTGTTAATTCAAGTATTTCTCCCTTCAGTGAAGCCAGGGCAGCCAAATGGAGCTAATTACAAATAACAAATTTACAATTCATTTTTATCATTTTCAGTAAAATTATTTATTTGCTGTAAATGTACTTAATAAAGTTATTTGTTATTTAATTAATCGGCATATTTGTCACACAAAATAATTCAATTAATTAATATTAAAATTTGATATTAATAATTCATTAGATTGTATATTTGATATTAATTAGTTATCATCTTAATTTAAAAATAATTTAATATGACCTTAGAGATGAATGTGCTTTCACCTACTTAACCAATACTTATGATAAAATAATTCAGAATCATTTTAAATGTAGAAAACTTTTAAAAAATGAGGCTTTAATTAAATTTACAGCTTTCATTTAATATAGAAATATATTTCTATATATGCCATCTATCATTCCTCTTATGGAATGAAACTTAGAAGTAAATTCTTTATTTCTCCAAACTTGGAAAGCATCCAAAAAAGAACACTTGGATTGTACAATTAGCAATTTTCTTATATATTATGCAATAGTTTTGGTTTGAATCTTGTTCTAAGCTACTCTGTTCTAATGACCACTTACATCAAATTATCCTAATCATTAAATAACCTTTAATTATTAATAAGTTACTAGATTAGTTGGAAAATTATTGATTCATTTATTAATTAAACATAAAAAAACAGACATATAAAAATATGATATTTGTTAATAATACAATCCATTTGTAACATCAGATATAAATTTACATTAAAAAAATCAGAGAACAAAGTAGCAGAAAACAGATGAACAAATCAATTAAGATTTCAATTATTCTCTATCACTGGTATTATTCCCAAAAAACCTTCCATCTGTAACTTTTCCAAATATCAACAGAAACTTCTATTAAGCCATTAAATGCTTTCAAAATTAATCTAACATTCAATTATGAAATAATATTAAATTCAGACACTATAAGAAAATTATATTTCACATTACCAAATAAAACATTTTGTTTCAACTGTAAATTTTTATTTTTATAAACTTCATTTTGGCCATTTAATTACTAATGATAAAATTTCTTATTTTGATGATATGAAACCGTGCTTTACAATTTGTTTATATATAAATTATTTATTTATTTATTTATTATATAAATAAATAAATAGATAAAATTTCTATTCAGTAATTAATAGGTGGAAAAAAATTAATTTTCAGTTAGTCTTTCTAGAAATGTAATTAAAGATCCATCCTAAGGCACAAAATTAATAATAATTCAACACAGATGTGCTATTATGTGTCATTATTAGAAATAGTGAATGATGTTTACATTAATCTATTTATGATCCTGGAATTAGGAAAATGGAATTAGAACACAGAAATTATTTATGATTTTAGAATTTTAGAATTCAAAAATCATAAATAGATAATGCATAGTATTGGCTAATGGAATTAGAGAAAATCATTTATGCTAACATCTTAAATGTAAACATTAATAACAGAAATGTAAAGACTGAAACAAACTTGTGTATAAAGCTTGTATTTATCAAACAAATTAAAATATTTATTAAAACTAAACTAGAATTTTTTTCAACCGTGGGTGAATGTTCTAAAATTTCTTAGATCGATATAACATATTAGCGAACCTCCGGAAGGAAATGATGAAAGATAAACGCCTCCATTTTCCACCATAATACTCTTTTATAATACATAAAAAAATTTTATTTCCAAACTTTATATATTCCTTCCTATAACCTCATAAATAAAAATTTTGTGTTTTAGATTCCACGTTCATAAAAAGTGTGGAATCTAAAACACAAAATTTCATCCCACTAAATATTTTGNGAGGTCCGGGTAGCGTAACTGGCAACGCATCTGCACGGTAAGCAGGAGTTGTGGGTTCGAGTCCCGCTCCGGGCCGATTTTTTCTCCCAGCGGTTCCAAATTATTTAAATTAATTAAAAATTATTTATAATTATTAATATTAATAAGAGATGGTGCCTAACGCTTACCTCTAGTACCAAATTGATTACGTAATTTATTTAATAATTAGCATAAAACTAGCCCGATAGAGTTTCGGCAGTCTGTTGGTTGTAGGGATATAAAGAGCAATGAACTAAATCTAATTACTAAATAATTTCTGAAAATTCATTCTATTCTTCAAAAATTTAAATTTTCATAATAATAATATAATATTTTTATAAATATTGATAGCAAATAATTATTTCTCCATTAAATATTGCAGTCAGAAAATCAGATAAAAAAATCATTATTACATATATTAATATAATGTATATGGTATAAATTAAATTATTCTTATTATATAGCCAAATAATATTAAATGATAAAATATGAATATTTCCATAAATTCATTCTAGACTATAAATAACTTTTTTACAAACATAAATTTAGAACTTTGAGTTAATATATTTATTTATATTTTCATAGCTGAAACAATTCAAAACAGAAAAAGATCCATACTAGAAATTTAATTTATTCAAATAGTAAAATATTAAAGTGATTTTTCCCAAGATTAATATTTTGAATTTGTCATTTGGCAGTTGCACATTTTTCAACTTAATTTAATATCTTTATTTAATTATCATTATACTGTGACAGTGAACTCTTACAACTATACTCTAATTGTTTACTTTTCTGGTATACTTAATAATGATAGAATGAATAAAATATGAGTGATTCATATTATTATTGATATTTATTACAATGTTTTATTTCTATTTTAATATTTAATTAGTATTAAATAATTTATGTATACTTTCATAATCAAAACTAAGAAAGAAATTTTTAATAATTCTTGATTAATAATTTTAATCATTATTAATTGTAATTTTCTAAAACTTTTATATCTTAAAAGGTATATGAAAGGTAGCAACTATTATTTTATTTAATTAAAAAAAATTCAATAAAACTATTATTATTAAAAACATTCATAATGTTTTAAAATTGAAATCATCATTTACCAATTCTTTTAACTTTCATCTTCAGATCCCATCAGTGATTTTGGAGTTTGAAACAGAATAGTTCAAAGCATATTCTGAGACATTAATCCAATAAATAATTATGGGTATTTCTAACAGTCAATGTCTTATAAGTTTCTTTGAATTTAATATAGCATATTTAATGAGCATTTTAAAAATTACTGATTAAAAAATGAAAATAAACAAATTGTCCAGATAACTAATATACACATTACGTAAACATAAAAAGGGGGGAAAAATTCTCTTGGTCATTCATATCTGTAAAGATAATGATCTTTACACATATGATACTATAATAGTAAAGTTGAAAATCACTGACAATGATATAAAAATATACATCTCTTATAACTGACACTATTCAATTTTTCATAGTATCAGTACTTATATCAGATAACAAATAACTATGATTGTAGATCTATACTACTGAGAAGGATTAAATTAACAACTTTTTCTAATTTCCTAAATATCAGGTAACAGGCAAATATATTATTTTCCGTGTTCTTCAAACTAGAAATAAATATTCAAATAAATAAACTTCTTTCATAACATAACAAGTAAACTTTTGTATTCATTTTCTTGAATACGATGAAAAATATTACTTCAAAAGTCTAATGAATAAAATGAATACCGAATACTTTATTAATATGGGCAATGTTACAGTCCATCAACCACTCTACCGTCCATCATTACCAGACAACGACTCGGTATGACATGACGTCACGTCCCCCGCTTTCAAGCAGCAAGGAAGGAAGGAAGAACGCGTTTGTTTGTTTTAACAGACGTCGGTCATTACACGGGACGATGGAACAGATTTCCTTACAATGAAGCCTCTCATAAATATTAGAGTACCGTTAAAATTATTTTTAATAAAATTCTTGTCCATTACAATCCTTAGATTTAAGAATAAAGTAATGTGTCTAAGTAAAACATCGACCAAAATCGTGAGATCTATCGCTTTTCTATTAATAAAACAAGTTTGTAGGATATGCGAAAGGATTAATTCTTTCGTATTCAATTATCTATTACAAAATATGCGTCACCCGATAATTTCTAATTAGTCGTTTCTATCACTTGATAAAAATCGTCACACTCTTCTCAGTTAAATCCAAACAATTAGATACGGAAAATTCCGCTAGTTTAGCGTAACTTTAATGCGCATTATTTGCATTCCGAAAAATTTCAGAATATATAAAATATCTACGAAACAATGACAAATAGGAATCCGTTTATTATATATCGATATTCTAAATGTAATATTCGAAAATATTTATTAAAACTAAACTAGAATTTTTTTCAACCGTGGGTGAATGTTCTAAAATTTCTTAGATCGATATAACATATTAGCGAACCTCCGGAAGGAAATGATGAAAGATAAACGCCTCCATTTTCCACCATAATACTCTTTTATAATACATAAAAAAATTTTATTTCCAAACTTTATATATTCCTTCCTATAACCTCATAAATAAAAATTTTGTGTTTTAGATTCCACGTTCATAAAAAGTGTGGAATCTAAAACACAAAATTTCATCCCACTAAATATTTTGCATGCTTGGTATTTATGACACCAAACTGAATGTGAATGAAAGAAATGTAATAATTAACATTTTTTTATGATAAGAATATACGTTATACATATTCTTTTTTACTTATAGGCCTAACTATTTAAAATATACATTTATAATATGACGCAATATTTCTATAAGAACAGTTTCGATTTCCGGAAGGAGTTAGGTCAAGGGTCACTGGAAATATTTTATAAACTTAATAACTATAAATGATTCGAGATTGCATAATATGATATCCGCTAGTAAAATATAGAAAGCTATTATAGTCCTAATCAGAAAAGTTTTAAGTAATTCTCAGGAGATTAAAATTTAAATAACGAAGAAACAGACAAAAGAAAATATGTCATTTTAAACAATTTTAAAACGAGGTAATCACTATAATTTTCTTTATTTAATAGACGGCAGTAGCCGGATTTCCGATACTAATTATTCAATCACTAGACTATTGTGCATTAACTCCAGTAACAAACTATTAAACATGTTCTTTTAG